CCTCATCCTGGGAGCAGATGTGGCAGAGGCGAAGGAATTGGGAATAGGGGATGGCATTTTTGCAGGAAGGTGGGTGGGAGGAGGTGTATTCTAGGTAGCTGTGGGAGTCAGTGGGCTTGAAATGGATATCGGTTTCTGGGTGGTTGCCCGAGATGGAGACAGAGAGGTCCAGGAAGGAGAGAGAGGTATTGGAGATGGTCCAGGTGAACTTAAGGTTGGGGTGGAAGGTGTTGGTGAAGTGGATGAACTGTTTGCGCTCCTCGTGGGAGCACGAGGTGGCGCCGATACAGTCATCAATGTAGCGGAGGAAGAGGTGGGGTTTAGGGCCGGTGTAGGTACGGAAGAGGGATTGTTCCACGTAACCTACAAAGAGGCAGGCGTAGCTTGGGCCCATGCGGGTACCAATGGCCACCCCCTTTGTCTGTAGGAAGTGGGAGGAATTGAAAGAGAAGTTGTTGAGGGTGAGGATGAGTTCAGCTAAGCGGATGAGGGTGTCAGTGGAGGGGGACTGGTCGGGCCTGCGGGACAGGAAGAAGCGGAGGGCCTTTAGGCCATCTGCATGGGGAATGCAGGTGTATAGGGACTGGACATCCATGGTAAAGATGAGGTGTTGGGGACCGGGGAATTGGAAGTTCTGAAGGAGGTGGAGGGCGTGGGTGGTGTCACGGATGTAGGTAGGGAGTTCCTGGACCAAGGGGGAGAAAATGGAGTCGAGATAGGTGGAGATAAGTTTGGTGGGGCAGGAGCAGGCGGAGACAATGGGTCGACCAGGGTAGTCAGGTTTGTGGATTTTGGGAAGGAGATAGAAGCGGGCAGTGCGGGGTTGGGGAACAATGAGGTTGGAGGCTGTGGGTGGAAGGTCACCTGAGATGATGAGGTTGTGGATGGTTTGGGAGATGATGGTTTGGTGGTCGGGGGTGGGGTCATGATCAAGGGGGCGGTAGGAGGAGGTGTCGGAGAGTTGGCGCCTGGCCTCGGCGATGTAGAGGTCAGTGCGCCATACTACAACTGCGCCTCCCTTGTCCGCGGGTTTTATGGTGAGGTTTGGGTTGGAGCGGAGGGAGCGGAGGGCTGCACGTTCTGTGGGGGAGAGGTTGGAGTGGGTGAGAGGGTTGGAGAGGTTGAGGCAATTGATGTCTCGACGGCAGTTGGAGATGAAGAGATCAAGGGAGGGTAGGAGGCCTTGGTGTGTTGGAGGCGGGAGAAGGGGTCAGTCAAGGGAGGGTTAGGCTCATGGTTAAAGAAGTAAGCGTGGAGACGGAGGCAGCGGAAAAACTGCTCAATGTCCAAACGTGAGCGGTATTCGTTGATGTGTGGGTGGAGGGGGACAAAGGTGAGCCCTTTACTGAGGACTGACCATTCGTCGTCAGTAAGTGGGAGGTCTGGGGGGGTGGTGAAGACTCGACAGGGCTGGGTGCTACTGTCTCCTCTGGAGCTGCTGGCTGTAGAGGCGGTGGGCGGAGCAACGTTGGCGTCGGTGGTGGGCAGAGTTGCATTGGCGTTGGCAGTGGGTGGAGTTGCGTCGGTGTCAGTGGTGGGCAGAATTGCGTCGGTGTCAGTGGTGGGCAGAATTGCGTCGGCGGTGGGTGGAGCAGCGTCGGCGGTGGGTGGGGCGGGGTAGGCAGCGGCAGCACCAGTGTCGGCAGGTGCGTCCTCAGTGTCTGTGGTGTTGGCCTCGGAAATTGAGGCGGTGGCATCAGCAGCGGTGTCGATGGTGTTTGCTGTCCTGGAAGTGGTGTACTTGGCGGCGGAGGATGTGACGTCATCCGTGGCTGCTCCGACAGTGGCCACATGGCCAATGGCGGTGGGCACATTGTGGGGAAGGTCTTGGGTAGGGTTGGGGGTTTGGGAGGTGGAGTAGGCCCGTTTTGGGTGGTAGGCAGTAAGCTTACTGTACTTAACGGTTTTTAGTGTCCAATAAAGCTGAGTAGAATTGAGAGTTCAGGTTGTGGATCCTATGAAGAATAAAAAACAGGAGAGGTCCTTTGCAGGTCTGGGAGAGGGAGGCTCTGTGCTGGGGTAGGCTTGATTGTAGTGCCAGGAGATGCTGGCGCATTGCTGTGAGCGTGTGTGTTTCAGGAGTCGCAGGGAGAAACGCTTCTGAAGGATCTCAATGTTCTGAATGTAGACATTGTCACGGCTGGGGCCAAATTGGGAAGGCCTGAATGTGGACTGTAGACCATTGGGGATGATCTGGTTCCGTAGGCAGGTACTAAGAAAGGTTATGTGGCTGTAGTACCTGGTTTGCTTCAGGACGTGGTCGAGCAGTTTCAAGGCCAAAGAGATTACGAGAGAGTTGCAGTGGGAGAGAGATCCACTGAGGTTGTTTCAGAGGGAGGAGGGTAACTTCTTCAGGGTAGGCATCCTTAGAAGAAGCTTCACAGTGGGGTTAAAATTGTTTCAGAGATAGCAGGAACTGCAGATGCTGGAGAATCTGAGATAACAAGGTGTAGAGCTGAATGAACACAGCAGGCCAAGCAGCATCAGAGGAGCAGGAAGGCTGACGTTTCGGGCCTAGACCCTTCTTCAGAAATGGGGGAGGGGAAGGGGGTTCTGAAATAAATAGGGAGAGAGGGGGAGGCGGATAGAAGATGGAAGTATGCTTTGTTAACCACTCTCCCAACCTGTCCTGCACCTTCAAGGGCTTCTTCCCTTATACATTCAAGTCTTTTCTATTTGTTGCACTTTTTATACTGTCTCTCCATGTTTTTCCTACTAAAACTAATCACTTTACATTTCTCTGCATTAAACTCCATCTGCCACTCATCTACCCAATCTACCGACTTGTCTGCCATTTTGAAATTCTATCTCTTCACAGATTACAAGCTTCCAATTTTTGCATTGTCTGTAAACTTTGAAACTATGCCTTGTACACCAAGGTCTAGGTAATTTATATATCAGGAAAAGCAAGAATACCAATACTGACCCTTGGGAACTCCACTGCAAACCATTAGCCAGCCTGAAAAACATCCATTAACCACCACTCTAAGTTTCTTGTCAGTCAGCCAATTGTATCTGTATTGGCGTGTGAAAGTCCACATCTCTCCATAAAACAAAAACTAAAAGATTTCCTGTTGACCATGAAATTATTCACTGAAGAGTTAATAAAACCATAGAAATTTACAACACTGAAGGCAGTCATCAGGATTATCACATCCAACCTAAACTCCCTTTCAGCTCTTGATGCGCAGCCTTATACAGTCCATCGATTCAAATATCCAACTTGCCAGTTTGCTTTGAATCCCATGGATTTTTACTTTTCTGAACAAACTGCATGTGATACCTTGTCAAAAGACTTGATAAAAAACCCATGTAGACTACATGAAATGCACCATTTTCATTGAGCCTCCTTGTTAACATCTCAAAAAATTCAATCAGGTTACTGAAACATGACCTGCCCTAGACAAATCTATGCAAACTTTCCTCAATTAATTCATACCATATAAAAAGACTATTTAATGCAGTCCTGCAGAAATTTTTCCATCATTTGCCACCACTGAGGTTAGACTAAGTGGTTACAATTATTTGATCTACTCATTTATCCCTATTTAAACTACTGCAGGATGTTTGTGATATTCCAGAGAGGGCCGGAAGATTATTAGAGCTTCCAATATTGTCTCCTTTACTCCTATTAGTTTAGAATATATTTCATGCAGGCCTATCGACCAATTGATTTTCAAAAACACTAAAGCCTTTAACATTTGCTCTCATTTTGTTTATCCCATCCAATAGTTCATAATTCTTCTTAATTACAAAGTCTTCTGTCTCCCTCTTTTGAATGTTCCAAATACTCCAAGAGGCCCAGATTTTCACTCCTGAGGCAGATATAGCAAGAATCAAGAAATTTTGTGGCTCGTCACATTTGCCTCAGGAAGAAAACACAGCTGAACAGGAAGATCTTCAATCGGATGCGTTGTTTCATTAAAATAGAATGCCGTCAAGCCCTCACTCATCACATCCTCCAAGCACTCCGCATGCCCAACCATTCTTATATCTCTAATGGTCCCTCATACCTTCAATACCAACCCATTTCCCATCTACACACAATATGTCCCTCAAACACCATGCCAACTAAATGACAAATGCCACTCTTTGCACTTACATCCTCCATGCCAACTAACCCAATACCTACCATGTGCAGACTTCAGGACCCATGTTCAGTTGAAATAAAACTAAGTTCTAAATTTCTATCATAGCCTTCACTATCTTAAGACCATTCAAAATATTTAAATAGCCTCAAGTTCATAACTCCTTATAAAAACATCAACCCATCATTAAAGACATCTAAATTGTTCAGCCGTCAATGAAACTGTGAACTTAGGATCTCCCACTGAGATTGTGACAGGTTGTGGAAAGTAGCTAAATGTTAATAATGGCAAAATGATAACCCTTGAGGTAACGCAATTCTACAGTTATTGTAACAGCTAGCCCAGACTTTTCAGCCCTCACTGGAATTGGCACGTTGTTTATTTTTTGAAAGGGCCGGGGCTTTAAATGATTTCACAGCTTGAAACAGTTCTACAGATATTACCTGCCCATCAGGAGAACTACTTAGAACTACCCTAAAAATTCATAACTCCATAAATTCACAACTTCATAATTAAGACCCTTGCTGCAGCAAATGGGGATGGGTCTTTTGGATCTATGCACCACAAGCCATTTTTAAAGGAATGTGCCACAAAAATCTGGGCCTTTAAAGTTTTGTTGATCGTCCCAACTCTGTTCATTTTTGTTTAGTCCTACAAATGAACTCATTCCTCTCCAGTTTCAGTTCTGACACCCGAAACATTAACCTATCTTTTCTTTTTGTACATCCTCACAAGTCGCTATTTATTCTCAGCATTTTCCTCTTTTATTTTTGGTACTGACCTCAACTGAGCTGGCAAGGTGACTCAATGTTAGAAAGATTTTCTTTGAGTAAAATCCTTGCGTTAAAGGCTCCTGAGGTAAATTACACTGAAAGACACATCACTATAGAAGGAATGCAAATCCTGCCTTACCTGATATTTTTGAATCATCCTTGTTGAATCTCGCAGCTGCTGCTGCAGGGAAGTCACTATCTCTTTGTACTTGGAGTATCTTTCTTCTATCATCTCTCGGTGACGCTGGGAATCCTTCAAATAGAGAGCATTTTCATTAAAGTACAGAAATAACCTAGCCACAGTGGAAAGAAAATTCTGAGATATCATTTTAAGATTTATTTAACATGGTGCACATTAAGGTGAGGAAGCAGTTTTGAAATCAGGTAATTTTTGTACCTACAAAGTACTCTCAGTTTAGGTATGGTCAGAAGAAAAATATGGTAGCAACAAGCAAAAGTGCTGAAGCACAAAGCAGGTCTGTAAGAATGATAGAGAGAAAAGGCAGGCAAAAGTTTCGAGTAAAGTCTGTGTGGCGGAAACTCCTGAGAGATGCAATGCTGGCAGCTCTGCTGCTCTTCAGAGTTCATGCCCCTAGAAACATAGGATTTAGGAGAAGTAGACCATTCAGTCCTTTGAGCCTGCTCCCCCATTCACTAAGATCCTGGCCAACTGATTGTGGTCTCAACCCCATCTTCAATCTATCTAACTCAGCTTTGAATAAATTCAGTGATTGTTTTCTGAGGAAAAACATCCGAATAACAATAACCCTCAGAGGAAAAAAAATCTAATCTCAGTTTTAAAAAAGAAGACTTCTTATTCTTAAGCTATGTTCCTGGGTTCTAATCTTCCCCACAATTCTCCAAGTATTTACCCTATCGAGTCCCCTCAGGATTGGTTTTATGAAATCATATTTCATTCTTTCAATCTTGAATGGGTATAACCCCAATCCCTTCAACCTTTCTTGATAAGAAAAGTCCTACATTCCAGGAAAAGGTCTCCTTCTCAAACTGTTTCAAATGCAATTATATCCTTTTTCAAATAAGAAGCCAAGTCAGTACACAGTTCTCCAGATGTGGTCTCAACAATTCCCTGTATAGCTGCAATAAAACCTCCCTAATCTTGTATTGCATTCTCTCTGTAATAATGGCATCATTCTGTTTGTGTTCCTAATCGTGTGCTGTATCTGATCACGACTTGTTGTGATTCATGTACCAGGACACTCAAATCCCTCTGTGCAATAGGTTGTGTAGAGCTGGTAAATGGGCATCTCATTAGCATGTGGTAGGTAGATGCTTCTCTGATGGCCCCCCGTGATGCTGGGGTGGGGGTGGGCAGACGAGTAATTGGTCCAGTGATGACTCTGCCTTCAGCTGCTTTCTGGAAGTCGCTCTCTGCCTCTCCACCTCCCAATCCTCCTTTAATATTGAAACCAACTCCCTTGATCGAGTTATGGTTCAGCTCCCCAAAATCTCCTCCTTTGAATCAGCAGTATTATCCCTCTGTGAAGTGCCTTAAGGCATCATACTGTGAACAAAGGTTGGGCACGTGTGCTAACTGGGGCTTCAGCAGTGGATTATGTACTCACGTGTCTGGAGTAAATCTTGAACCCACCACCTTCTGACTCAGGTGACTCAGCTGTGCACTGAACCATGTTGAGGTTGTACAGGATATTGGTGTATCCTCTTCTGGAATACAGTGTCCAGTTCTGGTTGCCCAGTTATAGGAAGGATGTTATCAAGCTGGAGAGGGTTCAGAAGAGCTTTACCAGGATATTGTACAGAAGGTTTGAGTTATAAGGAAAGGCTGGATAGGCTGGGAATTTTTTCACTGGAGCGTAGGAGGTTGAGAGGTGACCCGATAGAGGTTTATAAAATAATGAGAGGTATCAATAGAGTTAATGGTAGTTGTTTTTTCCCCAAGATGGGGAATTTCAAGACTAGGGGGCACATTTTTAAGGTAAGAGGAGAGAGACTTAAAAAAGACATAATGGGCAATTTTTTTTACACAGAGGGTGGTTCGCTTGTGGAATGAACTTCCCGATGAAGTGGTGGATGCGGGTACAATCACAATGTTTAAAAGACATTTGGATGGATATATGAATAGAAAAGGCTTGGAGGGATATGGGCCAAGAACAGGGAGATGGGACTTGTTTAGTTTGGGATTATGGTCAGCATGGACTGGTTGGACCAAAGGGTCTGTTTCCGTGCTGTATGGCTCTATGGCTCTACAGGACTCAGGGTAAACCAGCTCCCCGCAACATCATCTTCAAGGCTCAATGAGGAAAGTTCAGGAACAGCAGATAAAGGGTCTCTCTTCTTTCATAGTGATGAGCATTTCCATACATTCAGCCAATTCTGGCTGGATCATTTTTATAGACTAAATACTAAGGCAGGAAACTGGCAGGTTAACACTTTGTTAAATTAATTTGGCATGTGTACAAACTCCTGAGTCAGCAATTTTCAGGATGCTGCCGAAGGGGATCCTTGTCAGCTTTAAATCACTATCCTTCTGAATGTTTTATCTTTGCACGGACTTACTTTTCCAAGATGTCTTTTAAATTAAGTACCATTTAACCTTGGTCTTCCCCTACTGAAGCCATGCAGAACTGTGCGCTGACCTAAAACTGAGTACATGCTATTTTCACACTCACATGCAATCAATACAGTATATCGTTTGTGAGATATTTTCAGAGCTATGATCAGCATAAAACTGATGTGGTTCAAGAAAAGTATTGAAAACAGAAACATATACATTCATAACAACAAGTTAATCTTGTAGAAGGTTGTAGAAAAACCTGCCCCATGCATCCTAGTTAATCTTCATGCCATTCAACATACTGCAATAGATCTCCTCCTTCTTCTCATTTCATATAACTTCTCTTGGACATTTTGTTCCATGCTTCTCCATCTTGCTTCGCTGCTTCTTTAATCTAATGAAGACGAAGATGAAGATCTATAGCCCCTTGCACCATCTCACATTCTCAGACACTTGCACTGACTATAACTACTACTACAACAAACAAATTTACTGGGAGACCAGTTACCAGTGCTTCTTGCACAAGATGGGGCACAAAATCAAGGCCTCTGCTTGCTTGTTTGTGTAGATGTAAGAAATCCTGTGGCATTACTTGAAGATCAGGGAACTCGTTTGAGAAACTTGGCCAACATTCAAACATCAACCAATGCAGAGATAGTAGGAACTGCAGATGCTGGAGAATCCGAGACAACAAGGTGCAGGGCTGGATGAACACAGCAGGCCAAGCAGCATCATAGGAGCAGAGAGGCTGACGTTTCGGGCCCAGACCCTTCATCAGAAAAGGGGGAGGGGAAGGGGGTTTTGAAATAAATAGGGAGAGAATGGGAGGCGGATAGAAGAGGGATAGAGGAGAGGATAGGTGGAGAGGAAACAAACAGGTC